ACTACTGAACTGAACTAGAACTGAACTAGAACTGAACTAGACTGAACTAGAACTGAACTAGAACTGAACTAGAACTGAACTAGAACTGAACTAGAACTGAACTAGAACTGAACTAGAACTGAACTAGAACTGAACTAGAACTACTGACTAGAACTGAACTAGAACTGAACTAGAACTGAACTAGAACTAGAACTGAACTAGAACTGAATTAGAACTGAACTAGAACTGAACTAGAACTGAACTAGAACTAAACTAGAACTGAACTAGAACTGAACTAGAATTGAACTAGAACTGTACTAGAACTGAACTAGAACTGAAGTAGAACGAAACTAGAACTGAACTTAATGTTAACTGGAACTGAATTAGAACTGAACTATAACGGAACTAGAATTAAACTAGAACTGAACTAGAAATGAATTTCTCGTGCTTTTTCTGTTCTAGTTGCCCTAGTAATTCCATTTCAACATGGTGGCAATATTGTTTAAATGAATGAAAAAATGTTGAGCTCTGCCTCTGACTGCTAAGGGTGCTTTTGCATTAATTGCTTTTATCGATTTTTTAACAGTTTTTGTTTGTTTTTATTTATTTTTTTGCTCTCTCATTTATGCTATATATACAAGTGTGTATTTTAATTCAGCTCTGGCTTTAAAGAAGAAGAAAAATAACAACATATTTTCAGTTGGATTTTTCTTTTTTTAGCACAAGGCCGAAAATGAAATGTTTTGTATACTGCTTCTTCTTTTTTTTTTTTTTTTTTTGCTTGTGTTCTTCTTCTTCTTTCTAAAGTGTTATTGTTGTTGCACAAATTGTATATAAAATGAAAAAAAAAAGAATATTTCTGTTTACATCTCTGTGCCAATGTATGAGTGAGGATTTGTTTGGATTTTTATTTTTTTAATTTTCATTTTAAGTATAAATAAAAAGAAAGACTTACATTTTTTCAACTACTTTTTTTCGCATTAAAATAATGTTGTTGCTGGGTTATATGGGTAGTTAGGCAAAGTAAGTAGTCAGTCGGTTGGTCGGGCGGGTGTTCAGTCGGTCCCATTTGAATATGAATGAAGGCACACACAGAGTGTTAAACTTAAAATGTGAAATATTCTCTTTTTGTTTTTAATATAAAAAATAATGATAATAATGTTGTTTGTTGGCTGCTATGTAAGGTTTAGAGTATAGATTTCATTAAAAAAATATGTGGGCGTTGTTACTTTGTTTATTATTTTTCTTTTCATCAGAAGAAAGAAATAATTGCAATAATGATGGTTTGGGATGACGGTGTCGGTGGTGTGTGAAATGGTTGGTTAGAAAGAAGTTAAAGCGTAAACTATGGAATATATTTAAAAAGAATTTGCAGTATGTAGTGTAGAAAGGATAATTGCTGTTTTTTTTTCTTGCTTAAGTCGAGTTCTAATTCGTTTCATGATTTACAACAGAACTAGAACAGAACTAAAACAGAACTAGAACAGAACTAGAACAGAACTAGAACAGAACTAGAACAGAACTAGAACAGAACTAGAACATAACTAGAACAGAACTAGAACAGAACTAGAACAGAACTAGAACAGAACTAGAACAGAACTAGAACAGAACTAGAACAGAACTAGAACAGAACTAGAACAGAACTAGAACAGAACTAGAACAGAACTAGAACAGAACTAGAACTAGAACAGAACTAGAACAGAACTAGAACAGAACTAGAACAGAACTAGAACAGAACTAGAACAGAACTAGAACAGAACTAGAACAGAACTAGAAAAGAACGAGCACTGAACTAGAATAGAACTACAACAGAACTAGAACAGAACTAGAACAGAACTAGAACAGAACTAGAACAGAACTAGAACAGAACTAGAACAGAACTAGAACAGAACTAGAACAGAACTAGAACAGAACTAGAACAGAACTAGAACAGAACTAGAACATAACTAGAACAGAACTAGAACAGAACTAGAACAGAACTAGAACATAACTAGAACAGAACTAGAACAGAACTAGAACAGAACTAGAACAGAACTAGAACAGAACTAGAACATAACTAGAACAGAACTAGAACAGAACTAGAACAGAACTAGAACAGAACTAGAACAGAACTAGAACAGAACTAGAACAGAACTAGAACAGAACTAGAACAGAACTAGAACAGAACTAGAACAGAACTAGAACAGAACTAGAACAGAACTAGAACAGAACTAGAACAGAACTAGAACAGAACTAGAACAGAACTAGAACAGAACTAGAACAGAACTAGAACAGAACTAGAACAAACTAGAACAAACTAGAACAACAGAACAGAACTAGAACAGAACTTGACCAGAACTAGAAAGAACGAGCACTGAACTAGAATAGAACTACAACAGAACTAGAACAGAACTAGAACAGAACTAGAACAGAACTAGAACAGAACTAGAACAGAACTAGAACAGAACTAGAACAGAACTAGAACAGAACTAGAACAGAACTAGAACAGAACTAGAACATAACTAGAACAGAACTAGAACAGAACTACAACATAACTAGAACAGAACTAGAACAGAACTAGAACAGAACTAGAACAGAACTAGAACAGAACAGAACTAGAAAAACTAGAACAGAACTAGAACAGAACTAGAACAGAACTAGAACAGAACTAGAACAGAACTAGAACAGAACTAGAACAGAACTAGAACAGAACTAGAACAGAACTAGAACAGAACTAGAACAGAACTAGAACAGAACTAGAACAGAACTAGAACAGAACTAGAACAGAACTAGAACAGAACTAGAACAGAACTAGAACAGAACTAGAACAGAACTAGAACAGAACTAGAACAGAACTAGAACAGAACTAGAACAGAACTAGAACAGAACTAGAACAGAACTAGAACAGAACTAGAACAGAACTAGAACAGAACTAGAACAGACTAGAACAGAACTAGAACAGAACTAGAACAGAACTAGAACAGAACTAGAACTAGAACAGAACTAGAACAAGACTTGATCAGAAGCAGAACAGAAATGGAACACAGTTAGAAGAGAACTAGAACGGAATTAGAGCAGAACTGAACAGAATTAGATTAGAACTAAATCTGACGTAGATAGATATTTTCTATCTATCTATCTATTTATCTATGTATCTATGTATCTATCTATCTATCTATCTATCTATCTATCTATCTATCTATCTATCTATCTATCTATCTATCTATCTATCTATCTATCTATCTATCTATCTATCTATCTATTTATCTATCTATCTATCTATCTATCTATCTATCTATCTATCTATCTATCTATCTATCTATCTATCTATCTATCTATCTATCTATCTATCTATCTATCTATCTATCTATTTATTTATCTATCTATCTATCTATCTATCTATCTATCTATCTATCTATCTATCTATCTATCTATCTATCTATCTATCTATCTATCTATCTATCTATCTATCTATCTATCTATCTATCTATCTATCTATCTATCTATCTATCTATCTATCTATCTATCTATCTATCTATCTATCTATCTATCTATCTATCTAATCTAGCTATCTATCATCTATCTATCTATCTATCTATATATCTACTATCTATCTATCTATCTATCTATCTATCTATCTATCTATCTATCTATCTATCTATCTATCTATCTATCTATCTATCTATCTATCTATCTATCTATCTATCTATCTATCTATCTATCTATCTATCTATCTATCTATCTATCTATCTATCTATCTATCTATCTATCTATCGATTATTCAATTTAAATTTTCAGTTAAATTTAAATTGTCACTTTTTTGTTGTATTTTTATTAATTCAAAAACACTCTATTTTATTTGTATTTGTGTCTATTATGACCATAGCAGCAGCAACATTTGTAATTGACCTAATTCTTTTTATGTTGTTTTAATTTTTTGCATAATTTTTTTTAAAGCTTTAACAAATACTGCAAAAAAAATTTATAACATGAATTTTTCAATACTACACAATATTACAAAAAAAATAACACATTATATTTTGTTGTTATTGTGATTTTGTAAAAACAATACAAACGAAACCTACATAAAGATAAACAAAATGGAAATTAACAATAATAACAAATAAAATACAGTGATTTTAATGTTTACTTGATGGGCAATAATATTAGCTTTATTTGAGGTTCAATTAACAATCACCGAGAACAATTATGATTTAGTGTATAGTTTTACTTAATATATCATAGGTAAACTGTCTTGTAGACAATTCAGCTAGAAATAATTTTTTTTAATACATTTGTACTTTTTAGAATAAATTGAAGTTAAAACGACTAGTTACTTATCTAGTACTAAGTTGTTAGTAGAATCATTAGTCTTCCACATAACTACCGGTAGAAAATAGTTGTGTATTTGTGTTTACTCCACCCAAAGTATTTTTTGTTATTTTTAATAAATTTTAAATTTTATGCTTCAGGGAGTATTTCCGATAAATAATAATAAAAAAATAATAAAATATTTAATATAATTTTGTTGTTTTAGGCAATTTTTGTCGAAAGAAACCATAATCAATTAAATATTATTTACATAATAAATAATTACCTATAATAATTTTCCACTTTAAAGGAAATAACGAACATTTTAGGAGAAAAACACTGGAAAAGTTAAAAATTTAAAAAATTATTTATAAATTTTTAAAAAATTCAACATTTTGAACACGAACTGAACTAGAACTGCATTGGAACTAAACTAGAACTGAACTATATACAGTTTGAAAATTGAAATTTAGTTTTTAAACAATCTGGCAACATTTGTGAAAGTCTAAATTCAGATATTGCTTTAGTTTTCGAAAGATTTTTTAAAAATATTATGTTTGAAATAAAGGTTTATAGAAAAAAATTAAGATTTGACTCAAAAAACTTAATTTTACAGAATGTGTACTTTTCAAAACATTTAAAATTTTCGAATTTAATTACATTTTCTAATTTGATTATATGTGCAGTTTTAAAACTGTTACAATTTTATCAAAAAATTAATTATTACTTACCCAATTATATCATTAATTAAAGTTGTTTATTTAAAAAAAATCAATATACAATTTTTTTTTTTGTATAAATAATCCAAATAATTTAAGGCGTGTTGTGCTGAAGAGTGAAGGATACTTTTCTGTAAAGATAAATAAAAATACAACAAAAATTAAATTCAATCAAATGATTTTGAAATAATTTATTCAATAAATGAACATCAGAAAAAAGAAAATATAGAAGATGTATAATATTTTAAAGAAAATTGAATGACAAGTCACGTTTTGCAATAACTCAGAAGAGTAAAATAAACAAACCAAATGTTTATTTTTTTTGCAAGTTTTCCAATAAATTAAAAACTAAAGAGAGTGAAAGAAAGCCAGCATTAAAATAAAATAAATAAGGCTAGAAAAATACAATAAATTTGTATAAAAATAGAAGATTTAAAAGAAGAAAAAGAAAAACCATAACAATAAATATTGGTTAAAAAGCAAAAAAAAAAATATATATATAATAATAATATTGCAGAAGAAAAAATATATATGTATTGTACATTTTGCAGACAATTTAATACGTTGTATAATAAATTTTATAGAAAATATATAACTTTAATAAGAACAACAGCAGCATCTCTATTGTATGTTTACAGAGTTGCCATTTTTTTGGGGGGTTTTTAATTTACAATAATAAGGCAGCTTTCAGCCACATTGCCAAGTTTCACTTTGGAATATTTAACTCCCAAATAATACACAAACACACAAAATTCACAGCAAAAATAATATAAACAAACAACGAAAACAAAACAACGGCCAAAACAAAAAAAAAAAAAAAAAATAAAAACATAAACAAACTGCAAATATTATTTTCCAGCAACCACTTCTACTACTACTACTTTACTACCCAACAATACACACACTTACTGGAATCTACTACTATTTTCAGACAGCACTGTTTTGCTGTGCTCCATAAAATGATTACACACTGCAGGACTGGAAACTGAAATAGAGTCATAAAATTCAGTTTGCGGATGGAACTAAACTGAATTAGAATTGAAATAGAGCTAGAACTGAAATAGAACAGAACTAGAACTAAACTGGAACAGAACTGCACTTAGAACTAGAACTGAACTTGAACATGAATTGAACTAAAAATGAACTAGAACTGAACTAGAACTGAACTAGAACTGAACTAGAACTGAACTAGAACTGAACTAGAACTGAACTAGAACTGAACTAGAACTGAACTAGAACTGAACTAGAACTGAACTAGAACCGAACTAGAACTGAACTAGAAGTAAACTAGAACTGAACTAGAACTGAACTTGAACTGAACTAGAACTGAACTAGAAGTAAAACTAGAACTGAACTAGAACTGAACTAGAACTGAACTAGAACTGAACTAGAACTGAACTAGAACTGAACTAGAACTGAACAAGAACTGAACTAGAACTAAACTAGAACTGAACTAGATATAAACTAGAGCTGAACTAGAACTGAACTAGATATAAACTAGAACTGCATTAGAACTGAACTAGAGCTGAACTAGAACTGAACTAGAACTGAACTAGAACTGAACTAGAACTGAACTAGAACTAGAACTGAACTAGAACTGAACTGAACTAGAACTGAACTAGAACTGAACTAGAACTGAACTAGAACTGACTAGAACTGAACTAGAACTGAACTAGAACTGAACTAGAACTGAACTAGAACTGAACTAGAACTGAACTAGAACTGAACTAGAACTGAACTAGAACTGAACTAGAACTGAACTGAACTAGAACTGAACTAGAACTGAACTAGAACTGAACTAGAACTGAACTAGAACTGAACTAGAACTGAACTAGAACTGAACTAGAACTGAACTAGAACTGAACTAGAACTGAACTAGAACTGAACTAGAACTGAACTAGAACTGAACTAGAACTGAACTAGATATAAACTAGAACTGCATTAGAAACTGAACTAGAGTGAACTAGAAACGGAACTAGAACGACTAGAACTGAACTAGAAATGAACTAGAACTGAACTAGAACTGAACTAGAAATGAACTAGAACTGAACTAGAACTGAACTAGAACTGAACTAGAACTGAACAAACTGAAACGAAACTGAACTAGAACTGAACTAGAACTGAACTAGAACTGAACTAGAACTGAAACTAGAAACTGAACTAGAAACTGAACTAGAACTGAACTAGAACTGAACTAGAACTGAACTGAATGATAGAACTGAACTAGAACTGAACTAGAACTGAACTAGAACTGAACTAGAACTGAACTAGAACTAAACTAGAACTGAACTAGAACTGAACTAGAACTGAACTAGAACGAACTGAACTAGAAACTAAACTAGAACTGAACTAGAACTGAACTGAATTAGACAGAACTAGAACAGAACTTGAACAGAACTGAACTAGAACTGACTAGAACTAGAACTAGAACTAGAACTGAACTAGAACTGAACTAGAACTGAACTAGAACTGAACTAGAACTGAACTAGAACTGAACTAGAACTGAACTAGAACTGAACTAGAACTGAACTAGAACTGAACTAGAACTGAACTAGAACTGAACTAGAACTGAACTAGAACTGAACTAGAACTGAACTAGAACTGAACTAGAACTGAACTAGAACTGAACTAGAACTGAACTAGAACTGAACTAGAACTGAACTAGAACTGAACTAGAACTGAACTAGAACTGAACTAGAACTGAACTAGAACTGAACTAGAACTGAACTAGAACTGAACTAGAACTGAACTAGAACTGAACTAGAACTGAACTAGAACTGAACTAGAACTGAACTAGAACTGAACTAGAACTGAATTAGAACTGAATTAGAACTGAACTAGAACTGAACTAGAACTGAACTAGAACTGAACTAGAACTGAACTGAACTAGAACTGAACTAGAACTGAACTAGAACTGAACTAGAACTGAACTAGAACTGAACTAGAACTGAACTAGAACTGAACTAGAACTGAACTAGAACTGAAATAGAACTGAACTAGAACTGAACTAGAACTGAACTAGAACTGAACTAGAACTGAACTAGAACTGAACTAGAACTGAACTAGAACTGAACTAGAACTGAACTAGAACTGAACTAGAACTGAACTAGAACTGAACTAGAACTGAACTAGAACTGAACTAGAACTGAACTAGAACTGAACTGAACTAGAACTGAACTAGATATAAACTAGAACTGCATTAGAACTGAACTAGAGCTGAACTAGAACTGAACTAGAACTGAACTAGAACTGAACTAGAACTGAACTAGAACTGAACTAGAACTGAACTAGAACTGAACTAGAACTGAACTAGAACTGAACTAGAACTGAACTAGAACTGAACTAGAACTGAACTAGAACTGAACTAGAACTGAACTAGAACTGAACTAGAACTGAACTAGAACTGAACTAGAACTGAACTAGAACTGAACTAGAACTGAACTAGAACTGAACTAGAACTGAACTAGAACTGAACTAGAACTGAACTAGAACTGAACTAGAACTGAACTAGAACTGAACTAGAACTGAACTGAACTGAACTAGAACTAAACTAGAACTGAACTAGAACTGAACTAGAACTGAATTAGAACAGAACTAGAACAGAACTTGAACAGAACTGAACTAGAACTGAACTAGAACTGAACTAGAACTGAACTAGAACTGAACTAGAACTGAACTAGAACTGAACTAGAACTGAACTAGAACTGAACTAGAACTGAACTAGAACTGAACTAGAACTGAACTAGAACTGAACTAGAACTGAACTAGAACTGAACTAGAACTGAACTAGAACTGAACTAGAACTGAACTAGAACTGAACTAGAACTGAACTAGAACTGAACTAGAACTGAACTAGAACTGAACTAGAACTGAACTAGAACTGAACTAGAACTGAACTAGAACTGAACTAGAACTGAACTAGAACTGAACTAAAACTGAACTAGAACTGAACTAGAACTGAACTAGAACTGAACTAGAACTGAACTAGAACTGAACTAGAACTGAACTAGAACTGAACTAGAACTGAACTAGAACTGAACTAGAACTGAACTAGAACTGAACTAGAACTGAACTAGAACTGAACTAGAACTGAACTAGAACTGAACTAGAACTGAACTAGAACTGAACTAGAACTGAACTAGAACTGAACTAGAACTGAACTAGAACTGAACTAGAACTGAACTAGAACTGAACTAGAACTGAACTAGAACTGAACTAGAACTGAACTAGAACTGAACTAAAGCTGAACTAGAACTGATCTAGTACTGAACTACAACGGAACTAATACCGAGCTAGAACAGTATTAGAACTAAACTGGAATTACTATCCTAATCTATTAACAAATCTGTGGATATAAAAGTACCCCAATTTCCATCTCTGTTGTACAGCATTTGTTCTACAACATATTACAAAAACAACTTTCCTTCCTGAATAAAAAGAAATCCTGTCTGTTTTCATTCTCTTTATAGTATTATTTTTTTCTTCTACAAAATTGTACGAGTTTTACGGCAACTAGATGATGTTGTGGCATGACATAACATTTAACGGCTGCAAGTCCGTATTAGAAAGAATATATGCAACAATTTGTATATACAGTATTGTTCAAAACTGAAGCAGCTTGCACTCATTGTTTCAGAATAGTTTCTTAACTACAACGATCGGTAATGATTCTTAAATAACTCATCCAGTGCTGGTGGTTAGGCCCTCAAATCTTGAATAAAAGTGGCGGGCAACCGTTTCCCTTATACTTGGCCCCTTCTGTCCCCAGATGTATTACTGTAAAATCTTAAACTACTCACACCCAGTATAAGAAATAAATAATATATGTATGTACCTATGTCTAGAAAGAAAGAATAACAACTACACTAGAAAACAGGATAAATACTGTGCAAAAAAAAGTTGTATTTTTTTATTTGGGGTGTGTTGCTGGCTAACGCTGCTGCTGCGACTGCAGCTGTTTGGGATTGAGGATGCTGCAAGTTTTAATATAAACATACGTTTCTACTTTTTTTCTCAACAATAATTTCCGGGTTTTCATAAGATATAACATCAGAAGCAGAAGCAGCAGCTCAAAAGACAGAGACAAATCTCATGTAGTTTTTTTTTTTTGTATATTTACAAATGTTGTCGA